CTGACGTGGGTGTACACCCGGATTGCAACAGCGGACGATGACAGCATCACGCCAGCACACATGGTGCAGGGCAAGTGGCGAGTGGTTGCGCAGGTGCCGTCTGCACGAATGCCCATCACAGCCATCACCATCGAGTGCGACGCTGTTGGACGCATCTCTGGCTGGGCGACCTTGTTTCAGCAGCAGACGCAGCAGCAGCACAGAGGAAGCACTGGGCAAGCACCCACAGCAAACACCGCACTTCCGCCAAGCACACATGCGGGCTCTGAACAGCACGGCAATGGTGGTGGTGGTGGTGGTGGTGGCAATGCACAACACCAACACTTAGGCGTATCATCACGGGAACGGCTGCTGGTGTGTCGCGGGCGGCGTGTGGGTGATTTGCTGCTGCTGCTCTTAGAGCACACGTACACCAACGCGGCAGTTGCAGGCCTTGCGCTTCGCTTCCACCCTGAAGGGTACCTTCAAGGGACATTCACGCGCGGATCGATGATGGAGCCCTTGCTGCTGCGCGCTGCCAAGTCCATGACCCTCTGTGAAACTGTGCTGGGCTCGCCCTTTGCGTTTGGCGCCAAGATGTGGCGCGCAATTCTTGCGGCAGAGATGGCAAAGGCTCCAACATCTCCGCTAGAGGATGTAGGAGCAACTGGCGATCGTGAACGCGGGGATGCGAACGTGGCGCTGAGCCAGCCGCACCAGCGCCAAGTGGGCCAACGGCAACAAGCAGACCAGGGGCAGCACATAGACCAGAAGTCCGCGGAGACGGGCGCTACGAGTCTGCAGCCGGCGTGGCCGCAGCAGCTCGCCAACGCGCTGTTGCTCGTGCACGTCCTACTTCAGCGTTCGGAGATGCATCCCATCTTGACGTACGTGCGCACGTGGCTGTCGCGCCGGCCGCTCGCACCGAGCAACTTTGCACAGTTCCTGCTGCGGTCACCAGCACCCTCCACGGCAACGAAAAACGGCAACGCCACAGCAGCGACAGCAGCAGATGGCACTCCGGCGCTCAATTGGGCAGACGCCCTCTTGCCACCAGTATCAGCAGCACAGGAGAATGATGACGCAATCTACCGTGAGAGCCCGAACGATCGCGGTGGCGGTGGCAGCAGAAGCAACAGTCATGGTGATGACACCAGCCTTGCTGTGGTTTGCTCTCTGGACCAGGTGCCGACACTGCTTGCATGCACGCATGGGGACCTGGACGAAGTGATTGCCGTCGCCGCGACCGCCTGTCCCTGGCTGCTAGCCTCCCTGCTGACCAACCCCAGCGCAGACGTGCAGCTCGCCGTGGCCGAGGCCATGTGCGGCGTCGCCCTTGCGCTGCCTCGGGTGGCGAGTGCACACCTCGACAGGTCAGCCGCTGCACCTTCATCGTCGCAAGCCCAGCAGACGAACTGGCCGTCATTCAGCGCATCCACGGAGCCACAGGCCAACAGCGCAGGACACCACCGCATTGAGGCACAGATTGCTCTGCCCATCTTGTCTGTGAGTGCGTTTGCGTCGTCGTCGTCGTGGCTGTCATCGCAGCAAATGCCAGCAGCAGGCACACCGCGCGGCCCGCCAGCACCAACAGCCACTACCGCAACAACGGCCCAGCTCTCGTCAGCGCTACCTGCGTCGCCGGAAGTGGCGTGTGCGCGGGTGACACGCGAGACTCGCCCCTGTCGTGACTGGACGGAGGGCCTGCGTCGCGCACACGACACCGTTCGAGCGACATACAGCCAGCTGGTGCGGTTCGGCGGGCAAACACCTCTGCTGGCGGCAGCCGCCGCCACGGCCACGCAGTTGCTGCAGCACGTACTGCTTGGGCTGCCGTTCCCAGCAGCGCTGCGAGTGCCCGCAAACGCGAGCCGCCGCCGCCTCACATTTGAGGACGCCGCGCTGTCGTCGTGGATCCGGTTTGCTCTCCACGCTGGTGACGGCCCGCTGGATGGCGGCACGAGCGGGCCCCAGGACTGGGCAATGCACTCCCCTTATTCGCACGAAGGGGCGATGGGCGTGAGCGAGCACACCGCCAGCAACGGCAGCGCTGACGGCGCTGGCACAGAACCGTTGGTGGCGCTCGCAGCGGCTGCACACGACATCATCACGTGCACACTGCTGGCACTGCTTGAGCCCGACCCACAGGTGCAGCTGACGCCACAGGTGGCAGCTACACCACGAGTGCCCTCTGCTTTCTTGTCCTCGACACGTGTTGCAGCGGCTGCGCGCAACGCGCCTGCTGCAACACCGCCCCTGACTTGGGATGACGATGACAGGATGACCCTGTCGTTCGCGGCCTCTGCGGTTCGTGACCAGGCGAGTGGTGCGTGGGTGGTTCGTCCCCACTGCATGGCGCCCTCGCGCGCTCATGCAATTGCCTTTGTACAGATGCTTCGCCCGGCACTGTGCGATGTGGCAGAGTGGCTGGCCAGCGGCCTCAACGTGCTTGAGCGCTATCTTGATGCCGGCCGCCACGTGGATGCGCGGGCGCGTGAGTTTTCACACCTCGTTCGCGGTCACGCGGCCGGTAGCCGTGCGGGTGCAGCTACTGCTGGTGCTGCTGGTGCTGCTGGTGCTGCTGCTTTTGCTGGTGGCGATGGTGGTGGTACTGACGGCATTGCTGCAGGGGATGTGAGCCGGCACATGGATGGGATCAGTCGGGTGGTGCCGGCCGGGTGGCGCGGGTGTGGCGGCGCATCGTCCACTTCGCTTCTCTCCGTCGCCCGCACGGGCCGTTCGCGCGGGTGCTCGCTTCCCTCGGTGTCTGTGCATGCATATGCTAGTCACGGGTGTGTGCTCGACATGCTAATGGCGCTGGCGTGCATGCACGCGCTGCACCCTGCACTGCTGCGGGAAGCGCTGCTGCTGCCGTCGCCGTCCCTCAACAGACCCGACGCCCTCACGGCAAACCACGGCGGTGGCCGACAGGCAAGTGCTAGTATTGGTGGCCGGGAGCGCCAACCATCTAGTTTACCAGCAGGGCCAGCCTCAGCGCGGCAGGCCTCAGCATGGCAGCTCACGCAAGATCCGTATCTGGCCTTGCCACTCGCGGACACCATCCCGGTTGCATCGTCGCCGCAGCGGCTGTCATCTGGCGGGTTTGATGCGCTGTTTCGGGTGCATTCGTCTGCAGAACCGTCGTTTGCGCTCAGCGCACGCATGTTGCTGACGCCGGAGGCGTACAGCCGCGTTGCCGAGCACTGCCCAAATGCGCTGCTCACCATCGCCAACGGCCAGTACGCACACCTTCGCTCGCGCGGGCACCACCACCTCGCCGCTGCGGCGCGCCTGTCCACGCGAACGGCAAGTTTGCTCGCCGCCCTCAGGCGGGAACAGCGGTACCTGCAGCCGCTCCACGTTGATCGCACGCGCGTGCTCTCACAGACAATGCATGCGCTGCGCGGCGTTGGTCGGACGGGCGCGGTTGAAGTTCGTTTCCAGGGCGAGGAGGGCGCCGGAGACGGTGTCCTGCGAGCGTGGGCTGGCCTCGTTTCCCGCTTGCTGGTTGAGCCCGTGTCGCTGACCTCACTCGCCTCCCCAATCTCGACATCCAGCGTGCATCTGGCGTGTCTTGCCTACCGTAATCTGTTCCACACGACACCGTCGGGCTCCTTCCATGTGCCCAACTGGGGCCACGGCGCGCACCGCACCTCAGCCGTGGCCGGCCCAGCCCTTGCTGTGCTGCTGGGCGGCACTGGCGAGGACAGCTTCGGTGGCAGTCGTCAGGAGGGGAGCGCCCGCAGCCGCGCCAACACGCGTGCAGCACACAGGCAGCAGCAGTGCGCGGGCGACACGCCGTTGGATGAGGGCAGCGACGTGGACGGGGACGATGTGCAGGCGGCCCTGCTGCTGCGGTACGAGGACATTGGGCGGTTTATTGGGCTGTGCATCAAGCAGCGACAAGTCATCACGCTTCGCCTAGCCCGACACGTGTGGAAGCTCATTTTGCAGCGGCCCTTGCGATGGCACGACGTGGCCTTTCTGGACCGCGACCGCTACGTCGGCCTGTGCGAGCTCTTGCGGAAGGCAGAGCATGGCAGCGGCGACGGCAATGACGGTGTTGGAGAGGACGAGGTTGCGCTTTATGGATTGACGTTCGCGTACACGTGGGCAACGGGCGTGTCAAGGGCGCATGTTGAGTTGGTTGAGGGCGGGGACGACACTGACGTGAGCAGCGCCGTGGCATTTGAGTACATGCGGCACTTTACGCTTGATGTGCTGAGCGCGTGTGCAGGAGCGTGTGCGGCCATGCGCCGCGGGCTCCTCAGCACGCTGGACGAGCAGGTGTTTGCCACCATGAGCGTGGAGGACATCTGGATGGCGCTGAATGGGGGCGGAGCAACAACGGTGACGCTGGAGGATGTGCTGGCTCACATGGCCATCGTTGATCGCAGAACTGACAGCGATGACATTGGCGCGCGCCCGCTTGCCCGATTCCGCGACATGCTCGTGGAATGTCTTGCTGACATGACGCAAGGGGAGCTTGGCGAGTTTGTGTGCTTTGTCACGGGATCGCCGCAGCTGCTTGCAGGCAATGAAGAGGGGCGGGGTGATGGCGGCGCCGCTGGAGCCCGCCCGACGTTGGCCGTTCATGTTCAGAACGCAAGTGATCGGCTGCCGCAGGCACAGAACTGCTTCTCGCAATTGTTCCTGCCGTTCTACGAAGAGGTGGACGTGCTGGCATCGAAACTGCGGCTAGCCATGCAGACACAGGAGTTTGGCTTGGCTTGAGCAAGCAGTTGTGTGCTTACGTGCGTGTGTGTTTATGTGATTGCGTGTGTGCGTGTGTGTGCTTGTGTGTGTGTGTGTGTGTTCTTGTGTGTGTGTGTGTGTATGTGTGTGTGTGTGGTGTGTGTGTGTGTGTGTGTGTGTGTGTGTGTGTGTGTGTGTGTGTGTGTGTGTCTGGCCAGGATAACAATATGGCAACAGAATAAACGAACATCCCTTGCGTACGTATGCACACACACATTGGTGTAAATGTCGCTGCCAAAACGAATGACATGATGTGACACTCCAAGCCAGTTTACTCGCAATTGATTCGGCAAGCGAGCGAACAAGAGCAAAGGGAGATGCCAGAAGCGTGAGTGAGTGAGTGTGTGTGTGTGGTGGGCGGGAGCATGCACCAACGCTCATCTGCCACTGGTGCTTCTGTTGTGACTTTCTACGCCTACTGCTGCTCCTGCTGCTGCTGAAGCGAGATGCCGGCGCGGCGATAGACGGGCAGGAGGCCAGAGAGGGTGTTGTACGAGATCTGCTCGTCGGAGGAATGCGCCATCATGAGGCACTGCATCTTGAGGAACCCGTCGTCACCGGTGAAGCCGGAAGCAGCCGCGGCCTCCATTTGCAGCGGCACAACCGCTGCCATGATTGCTTCCTGCTTGGCTTGCATGTCCGTAACGCCCTCCTGGAAGCCCGCGCGCGTTTGTGCGTTTGTGCGTGTGTGTGCGTGTGTGTGTGTGTGTGTGTGTGTGTGTGTGTGTGTGTGTGTGTGTGTGTGTGAG